TGCCGTTTGGGAAGACACCTCTGCATCCTTTAATGCCGGGCTTGGCGACCTTTTCAACCCAGAGCCAAACTCCATTGTTACCTGCACAAATTTCTCTCTCCCTTCCTCGCTGTAGGGACACACACTCCTTGACCCAGTCCCTAGGGCTCAAGGTGCAACCCTGTGAATTTACACACCCACCCTTACCCAATTCCTAGGGCTCAGGGCGCATCGTCCTGTTGGTTTGGCAGGATCTCTAGCCACTGAAAGAGCCTCACACAGTAATATCCTTACCCTCTATTTATTGACAATTCCCAGACAAGCAGAATACACATGCTAAGCACAGTGTCATGCTCACCAATCTGGGTACAGGCAGACTTCCCCTGTTGGCCAGGCAATATCAGTCTCTCTGGTCTTAGGCTGTCTCTCAGAGATGAGTGCGTCTTTTCCAGCTCTTCCCCCTTCTTCTTGGTGTTCCTGGTCATCTTCCAGCCTTTTCTTCCTTCCTTCTGCTTCTGTTACTTCTCATCTTCTTCTTGGTCGTCTTCTTGGACTCCAGTTTATATAGTGAAACCTGAGTCCTGCTTAGCTAGACCGTAACCAATTATTTTAGTATAATTTTACTAACCAATTATAACAAAATTATCCAGCCAATCATATCCCACCACCTTAATTGATTTACACCTAGCAAAATTAATTATACAGCAGACAGAAACAGTTACAAACCAGACAGAGACCACACACTCAAACAATAGGAAAGTGAATGGTGCCACTTAAGTTTTCTTTCCCCATCTTGAGATCTGTTTCTTTATCTGGTGCCAAAGTCCCCTTCTCACAGCTTGGGGCGACTTTTTAAATACAATTTAGATGGCATGTGAGTATTTGACTCCAGGCCTTTCAGCCAATGGCTGTTGCTCTTCAGTCTGGCTGCAGAATAAGGCTTTGTTTCAGGGCTACCCCAGGCCTTCCAACAGGGCTACGTATTGTTACACCATCACTATTCAGAGCGAGGGGGCCACACACAGCCCTGTAAGAGCGCCCGTTTGCAGGACTGAAAACACACCGCATAATGGTATTGGTAATTGACGTGCTGATTAATAACAGCCCCAATGAGCCATTGGCCTTCATTGAATGGGACTTCTGCTGCTGCATCTTTTCACACCGTTCTTTGAAATTTACGCTGTAACAGGTCAAATCCAGCTTCACATGGCAGGGGGCTGGGGATGTCTTATGGCAGTCTTATGGCAGGGGGCTGGGGATGGGAGGGTGTAGGAGTCAGGATGGGGGTGTATGAGGGGCACAGGGCTTGTAGGTGTGTGTGGTCACAATAGCCTGATGGAAAGGCATCAGTCCCCAGAGTCTCAGGTTGTGAGTTCAAGGCCCTTTCTCTTCTCCTCCCCCCTGCCAAGCAGCCTCCAGGCTACTGCTGTTAGCCAGCCCAGGGCTGGAGCTGAAAGCATCAGATAAGGCAACTGCTGGAGATAGGGTTTGTCCTCCAGTGGCTCCATGGTTAAAGGCCTTAGCCCTGAGATTATGAGTTCAAGTCCACCTGCCCACCCTGGAAGCAACAGGCCAGGAGCACACAACGCACTGTGTGCCTGAGTTGGCATTTTTCATTTTCAAAGTTGCATGTATTTTGGGGAATGAGAGTGGTTCCATAAAAAAAACTTAAAAAACAACAGATCATCTAGTAGCACCTTAAAGACTTACTGAGCTAGGCATAGGTTGCTGACCCTTGCTTTAATGCAAACGCAGCGCCCCCTACAGGAGCATGCAGGGAACTGCCTGCCTTTCCCCTCCCTCCAGCTGGGGGGTAGTTTTTAAGCTCAGAGGATGGTTTGATCTCCCCCCTCAATCTCTCTGGAGATGGAGAAAGGTGCTGGTGGGTGAGGGGGGACCGACGCTGCCCCCCCAGACTGCAGCTTCCTGCCTCCCACCCAGGCCCTCTCTGCCTCCCAAGCATGGGGCTGCCCCTTTCTTTTATGGGAAAGGGGATCAGCTCCCTGTCCTGCCCCCCTCCTCCATGCTGGGAGCCAGCCGGACTGTGCTCGGGCCTCCCTGGCAGCACCTGCTCGTGCCCCCTGGCAGCGCCCACGCCCCACAGGAGCCCTTCTGTGTCGTTCAGCGCTGGTGTCTTCCCTGCAGGAGCACTGGGCCCACGACCCCTTCGAAGCCTTTAAGGACTCTCAGGGGAACATCTACGCCCGCGGGGCCCAGGATATGAAGTGTGTCTCCATCCAGTGAGTGCGGCCCGGCCTGTGCCTTGTACTAATTTGCCGTGGGGCTGAGCCCTGCACCACGGCTCATGGGCGCGGGGAGCCCTCGGGTCACATCCGGACCGTGGGGTAAATCCGGAGGAGCTCCCCTGGGCTCAGTGGGTTGGCTTTCGGGAACTGCCCTGGGCCGGGCGGCTTGCCCTGGCC